GAGGGCCATCGATGCGGCGTGCTTGGAGTCGCGTTCCAAGCCTCGACCTCAGAAGACCAACCGCGAGGGCTTTGCCGAGGGCCTGAAAAGGGAATCTGAGCGAGTTGTTTGGGGTTTTCTTCCAACAGTTTCATGACAAAGAAGAGCCAAAGGGTGATGATCTTTCCCTTGTTGGTCCCAATGCTTTCTTGAGTTTGGTTGCGAACCAGAACCACCAGAACCAGATCCTCCCTGTGGTCCAAAAGGGTGCCGGAACAATTCAAATGCAAATCAACCGGTGCCACAGATTTATGTGCAGTCTGATGGTGCCCGCGGACCAACGGCTTCTCATGCAGTCCCCTACTCAAAGCTTTTGAGCGCAACCCCACCCTCCAAAATGTTTCAATTATGGGGCAACCCCTAGCTCAAATAGAACTATAGGGGCGCCAAAGATCTCACATGAAAAAAACCGGGGTTGGGATGCAACAAGAGGACCAAAGCTTTTCAAGGGCGAACCCCTGAATCCAATTCTGCTGAGGGCAATGGTCCATAGGGTTCTTCAGAGACTTGGTTCTAGGCTTGATTGCGGGTTATTGAGAAGCCCTCACCTTCAGCGAAAAGTTCTTTGTTTTCAGGGCATGCTTTTGTTATCAAGCTTGTTTGCAGAATGAACGGGTCAGCTCAAGCTTTCCCAGGATGCTTTGCAAGAACAAGCCGGCCACCAAGCCGAAGCCGAAGCCGAAGCCTGCTGCAGGGAATCCGGGCGCGAAGGCGGCCTCAAAGCCTAAGGCAAAGCGCCAGCCCCGAAAAGGCGCACAGAAGATGTGCCATCTTCTAGCCGCAAGAAGCCTCGGAATGCTTGAAAGCCATCAAGCCATTTTGGTTTGCAAAGTTTTGTGTGGCGCAGCTCCGGCAATTGAGCTGACAAATCTATACTCGGTAGCATCTTGAGACATCGACTGCGCGTGTGTGCGCAGCCCAGCTGTCCGGAGACAAAATAACATACACTGCGCACGCCTGTTCAAGTTACGCCACTAAGACCTCACAGTAAGTTGGCCTTTCAAGTGTGGGTTGCCAGGTGAAGGCAATGACATCCTAGACTCCCATATGGCCGAATCTTTTGGCGATGGAGCGCGGTGGCCCAACAAGCAGTGCGGCAAACCGCTAGAGGTGTGTTGACCGTCAACATTATGTTCACGAATGCTTTTTGGAAAGCCACGCCGTTACAAAAGTGGTATCTGTTGAGCCCTGTAGCATGCTGGCAAACGGTACCCTATTCCCTCACTGAAGCCAACCGGAAAAATGCCCCATCACTCATTTCCACTTCTTGAACTTGGGACTGCTCGCTGGCAAGGAAGCCTGGCCATCCATCCATTCCTTTTGAAAGTGTTAAACTCAAACATTGCTTCTTCAAAGGCAGGTCCAGTTTCAGTTTGTTGGGCCTTGCTGCTGAGCAGTCCTGAGTTCGACAGCAAGCCACTTTGTTAAGGTAGGGAACTTTGACAGTTCGTCCCACGGAAAAGGGAACAAGGACTACAGGTCTACCCTGCAAAACCCTCTATTGCAAAATGTGATGCCCATGGTGGGTCAAACAAACGCATGGTTTAGCTTTCTCAAACAACCCTGTTGACTTGGTTTAGGCAGCCCCTTTGCTTTTAACCGCAGAAGTGTCCGACGCATTCGGGCCAATAAAGAAACAGGCCACCCAGCCCAAGGAACCCCAAACGGCTTCTTGGGGGGCTCCACAAACCCTGGCAAACCTCAGGCTGTTGCAGCTGCTACCGAAACTTGGGCTATTGTTTTCTCAAAGGCTGCTTTCCCAACCAGGAAAAAGACTGGCTTCTCTACTGTAATGTTTTGCAAAATCGTGTAGCATTGGGGGTTAAAGGACAGAAACGCTGGTTTTAAACAACTTTTCCGCTCTTTGTTGAGTTCCAAAGCTTGAGGTGGTTCTACTCCATCCGGGGCTGACCCTGCCACCTCAACAGGGGGGGTCCGGCCCAACAGTTCCAGTTGCCCTAAAGCTCAACTGTAAATGACGTTCTTATAATTTTTGTTGGCGCTTGAGGGGCTTGTCTTTGTGACCTTCAAAAGGCGTTTCCCACCTGAGGCCACTGCGGCTGACACAAAGCGGGCGATGCTAGCCGCACGAGGGCAAGACCTCAGCGGCAGTGATGAGCAAACACGCCGTGCTAAGGGGGGCCAGAATGCGGACAGGGACATGCGCCGATGTTTTACCCGCTTGGGTTTGAGCTTGCCCGTGCCAATAAGACAGCTCACTCACGATTTGCCTGAGGGGGAGAGGCATGTCACGCACTGGATTCGCCCAAGCGATTGGGTGCAACTTTTGATGCAGAGGTTCCCACACTGCTTAATTGGGGAGTGTGACGACAACGACATGGCTTTGCAATTACATGCATTTTGGGCCTTGCACAAGCTTCATCACCCAACGCACCCAGTGCACCAGAAACCAATCGAGGACCTGGGTAGAACTCTACCTTTGGCCCTGCATGGCGATGAGGGCAGAGGCCCGCGGCGTGCTCGGTTTCTGCTGTGGACGGTAGAGAGTCTTCTTGGTGTGCGAGACTTGCCAGAAGATGCAACCTGCAAATGCGTGGAGCAGCTTCAGTCGATGCCCGCAGTGGATTTGCATTCGTGGCATCAAGTCACGCAGGTCAGTCCTGAGTACTTGGACCGCGCCAAGCGGCAAATGCCGAATTATAAAGGTCACACCTACTGTACCAGGCACCTCTTGTTTGGCATCCCGGAGTGGGCCTATCACAGCAACCAGTCGGATGTGGTTCAAAAGCACTTGGAGCACATAGCTGAAGACCTTATACGCTTATTTCATACTGGCGTTCAGGCTGGGAACCGCCAAATTTTCGGCGCTATCGTCGGCTCCAAGGGCGACATGAAGCATCAGATGGAGTCTGGGAACTTGGAGCGCTCGTACCACACTTTAGGTGCCAATGAGCTCATGTGCTCGCTTTGCCACGCTGGAACGGCCATGTTCCCATTTGAGGATGTTGCCCACGAACCGGGCTGGGCAGATAGTCTTTTTTCTACGCGGCCTTGGGAAACGGAGCCTGTACTGGCTTCTGTGCCGTACGATGATGGGCGCAAGCCCGAAGATGTGTTCAAGCTGGACGTGTTTCACGTGTTCAAGGTCGGCCTCGGGCGAGATCTGGCTGGGTCAGCTATTGTGGTGCTGGCGCGTCTTGGTCTTTACGATGTCGATGGAATCAGGTCGACGGGCATCAAAGACAGGCTCGGTCGGGCGCACCAAATGTTCACACTTTGGTGCTGCGCTGAACGGGTAACTCCAAGCTTGAGATCTTTTACCATCTTCCTTTTCAGTGCCAAGACCAAAGCGAGCAATCCTTGGGCAAACTCAAAGGGTTGAGACACGATGCTGCTACTGCGATTTGTTCGGTGGCAGGCTGGGCTGCATTTGTCGAGCCCCGTGGACGCATCGCGGCGTCACCTAGATTTCCTTCGAGTTCTGAAAACGACGGTGGAGCAGGGAATTCAGATTTTCGAGCTGCTCCACTCGCACGGATTGTGGCTTAGTCGTGAATGCACCAAATTGCTCTACACACGCATCATGCTTCTTTTGAAGGGATATCGGACATTGACAACTCACACTATGTACAACCTTCGGATGGCAGGGTTTGGCCTCAAGCCCAAATTCCACGCGTTCCACCACATCGCCTACAGCTTGCGCTCTGACTTGAAAACCCAAGCCCCCTTAATCCTTTCACCTTTATCATGGGCTTGCGAGCCTAATGAGGACAAGGTGGGGCGGGTAAGCCGTTTGGCCAGGTTGTTGGACTCGCGAACCATTTCCCGTCAAGTTCTTGCCCGACACTTCTTGAAAAAGCGAGCCGTTTTGCGACGAAACGAGGAAAACCTGAAGAGGCATCGGCGGACATGACTGAGCCCGCAGCCAAAGCTCCAAAATCGACGACTGGCTCGCTGCTTTAAGTGGGCGGGTCTCGTGGGAAGCGTGTTTGTGTCGTCGTGTTGGGTTGCGTTGTATTGTGTTGCTTTGTGTTGTGTCCTGTTCAGTTGTGTTGCGTTGTGTTGTGTGGTTGTGTGGTTGTGTGTTCTGTTGTGTTGGGTTGCGGGGTGTTGTCATGGTGTGGTATGTTGCGGTGCGTTGTGTTGTGGTTGTGTGTGGTGTGGTGTGTTTGTGGGGTGTTGCTTTTAGTGCGTGTGAGCGTGCGTGCGCTTAGGTGTGTGTATGCATGTGCGCTTGTGTGTGTGTGTCCCAAGCATGGCTTTGAGCCTAGAGGAGGAGCGGGCTCGAGGCAAGTCACTCAGTCTCAGCTGCGTTGCACTTTATTATTACGTCAAACCCTGTTCTGACTCTTTCCCTTTTGGCGCCCCTCCGGCGTTTTTGTGGAACCGCCGGCGTTTTTGAGAATCGCCGGCGTTTTTTGACTGCTCCGGCGGAAAGAGGCGTCCCACTTACAAAAGGCAAAAATTATAGCCCGGCGGAGTTTCTAGGTATGACTCACGGACTCACGGACCCAGATCGACAGGCGGAAAAGGCCCGCCCAAATCGCCGGCTACAAGGATGCAGCGGAGGTGGGTAAAAATGTACGCAGTGGGGGGAGGGGGGGAAGGCCTGAAGGTCCGAAAGAAACCTTCTTGAATGGGGTGATCGAAGGATCAATGACGGATCCTCATCCAAGGAGTGTGTCTTGTTCAGCCATGTTCGTGAACCTCTTCAGCCTGAACAGGCCAAAAGTCAACAATCGAAGGAGCTGAATCGGACAAACACCCAAAGGAATTAACAGGAGTACGTTTGCTAGAGTCCGAAAAAAAGTGCAACAACTGGTAGATTCCACAGTTGGGGGCATCCAAGTTGATGCCAAGACTTGGTCAGCGAAAAACATATGATCAACGCACCATCTTCCTTCTGCTCATGACTTCATTTGGGTTGGGAAGGCCAAAAACTGCCCCATCCGACTGCCTTATCCACAGGTCCAGGCTCTGCTGACTCTTGGCGCCCGGACTCCCGGCGCTCTTCGACCAGCTGCTGTAGCCTGGGCTGACCGACGACTGCAACGAAGTCCTCCAGAAACGACTCGCAAGGAGAGCCATCCCTAGTCACTGCTAGGTCGCGAGCCGGCTCAACCCTTGCGAGTCGGCAAGGAGAATCAGTACCGAACAAAAAGAAACATGTCGTGTTGGCATCAAACAACTTGGCATCAACCTGATCCGCCCAAAAGAACTTGGGCGTGGCTCAAAACGACTGCAGTTCTCCCTGTGGGCGCAATCAGGGGGGTCTTTTTGCCACCTTTTGTGAGAAAATCGGCGACATCTCAAAAAGGAATCCTTCACTACCAGGGGGTCGAACAATTTTTCACAAAAAGGTGGCCCAAAGACCCCCTGGGCGCCCTTCTCCTGGTGGGTAAAGGGAAACCAAGCTGCATCCAGTGACCTTGAGGCTCCGGCACGGATTCTTCCGCCAGCCTGCGGAAGAGGGGCGGGGAGGAGTTGGATGGGATGGGGGTGGTCTTAAAGTGAGTGTTGCTCGTTTGGAGTTGGCATCTTTTTGGCGGATGGTGCTGTGGGTTTGGATTTTTGTGTTGGACTTGGCACTCTGTTTGTTACGTTGGTGGAATGGAAATCTGGTCTCTTATCATTGCGAGCTGCTTGTGAACCGGTTGTTGGAAGGAAGGGACACCAAAAGAAAACCATGTTTTTGGGACTATCCTTTTTCTTACACATACCCAAACAGAAACTGCAATTGGCGCGGTTTCCGTTCCGTGTCTTCCGTTTTGACCAGCCCCAAACAATGTTACCCTCAAAGCAAAGACCCATCGCATTGTAATAGGGCATTGTTTGATGCTCCGGTTTGCCACCTGACTTTGGACGCAGTGGTGTCAGAACATGACGGGTCTGCTGTAAGCGAATCACTGTGAGCGTTGTCCAACCAGAAGTGGGTGCCACCCTGCTTGCGCGACACAATTCCTGAAATATCCGCAGCCTCAAGTGGCCGAAACAGCAATCCACAGAAAACTGGGGTAGGATACACAACATGGAGGCATGGTGAGGGGGCGGGCAGGGGAGGAGCAGGACAATCTTCGTGATTCATGTTCCTGCCTTTTTTCCTCCTCCTTCTGCTGCAACTCCTCCTGCAAGAGGGAAGTGTCCAAAGGTAAGTTAGGTATGGCTGGTTGGTGCAGAGATTTTAAAGGGCAGCTCAAGGGGGAGTTTAGGGTTGGATTAGGGTGGGTTTAGGATTGGTGTATAGCGTGGGTTTAGGGTGCGTTTATCGGTTTAGGGTTGGTGTATGGTGAACGGACATCTCACCCTGGATGCAGAATGCCGCAAGCCTCCCGGGGAAATGGTCGATGGACAACTTACTCCCCAACAGCTGAAAGCTATGGGGTTCTGTCCCAGATAGACTCGGGCGTGGTTTGCGGCAGCTTTCAGGGATGTTTCCGCAAGGCTTTAGGGGATTTATTCCTGCGCGATTCGCGAAAGGATGTTGAGGTGCACAGTCAAGCTGCATCCTGCGCCCCGCAAAAAGGCAAGCAAATGGACTCTCAATAGTAACATGATCATGGTGGCATTCAGCGAGTGACGCAAAAGGTGCGTGAGACGTTGACTGCAGGAGTTGAGAAAGCTATCCATGATGTTGCTCAAAGGGTATAGCTTTGGATGGGAGGCATTACCATTCCTTAACCGTGAGCAAAAAGGCGATTTCTGCAAGCCGACGACGGAAAGTCCAGTCGAAGGGCCTTGACACACTGAAATTTAGTTGCACAGTGGCACGCAAAGTGGGAACAAGTAGGGCCAAGTTATGTTGGTTGCTTGATTCCAGGTTTAGTAGAACTGAAGCCATTTTTGTTGGTTGGTTGATTCCATGGTTGGTGGAAATTGAACCATTTCTTGGTGACTGGTCGTTTCTTAGCCGACTTGATTGAAACCTGTCTTGTCTTGCTTGGCTGCCTCCATTTTTTCCGGATCAGAACCCTACGAAGACTTCCATTTGCTTGAGTATCTTGGAAAAAGTGACAAACTGGCAAGTAGTGACATATGTTCTTTACACCAGCAGGGGAACATATATAACATATATGCCTAAGCAAATGGAAGCCCATTTCAGACAAAAAACATCTCTCATTCGCCCGTGGCCAAAGCAAGGAGACCGTCCTCCTGCCGCGCTTGTCGCCCTCAGCTCCAAGCATGGAGCCGAGCAAATGCTTGGCCAGACTACCCTCCCGCCAATTGACATGAGTCACAATCAAAACCCAGGTGGGGAGTTTGGCTGGGGCGCAACACCTGCTACATGATAAAGCAGGTGTCCTTAGGTGAGCTAGTTAGGTGAGCTAGTTGAATGAGAACATCCAATCTCATGTGAGTCACAATCAAAACCCTTTGGTAAATGAAGGTTAGTAAGGGACGGTCCCAGCCGTAAATGGGTGCGGCCGCCTTTTCAATTCCTCACATGGTTCTGGGTTCACCATTTTTCTACCAGGTTTGGATTGTGACTCACATGGAACCTGACGTTCGAGGGCTTCCTGGTTTGGACCATTTCCTTTTAAAGGTCAGGTTCCATGCTCATTGGTGGGAGGGTCAGCCACTTGCTGAAAGGCAAACATGGATTTCCAAAAGAGAAAAAGTCGGCTAAGTTCGGCTGACTAAAGGAGCCCGTGCTTGCTTTGTGGGCAAATCTTTGGGCATCGTTCTTAATTGGAACCCCATTCACTGTGAGGGGATGGGGACATGCGGCAGACCACAGGCCCCGGACCAAGGAAAGGTTAAAAGGTTCTGCTTGAAGAGTTCTGGGAATCTTTCCGGGTAATCAGATCGTACCACCCGGTTGCAAGAACAACCAAAGAAGACTCGTGTCCGCCTTGTTTGACTCAAGCGTAGCCAAGGAATGCCGTACAGAGTTCTTAAGCAACTGTTGCGTTGAGCAACAAGCAAATGCGAAAAGGTCAGCCACCTTTTTTTTGGGGGGGTGCCCTCCAAAAAAACGCACCCATATTATGGAAACCACTCAGTGTGCTACAACTGGACGTGGGATCCAATCCGAGGCGAGAACTTCGACCGGGGCCAATCAGAACCGATCACCAACTTCAAATAAGAAGTCCTGTGGCAACAGAAACCACCACCTGGTTGAGCTGGGTTTGCTTCCGGTCATCCCTTCGGAACCCCAGAAAACCCATTCCCTTTTTCTGCATACACCAGGACAAAAGCCAGAAAGGAATCCTGATGGGAGTGGTCAACAGGTACGGCCGCTTCTTGGCACCTCGTGCCCAGAGCACCAAGTGCATGGCACTCGTTTTGCCAAGGCGCTCTTGGCCGCAGAGTCCTTCTTGCTCAGCATGGGCGCAATGTCTTTGTTCAACTGGCACGTCGGATGTTCCAAGGGCAGCAAAGGAACCCTGCAACCTACAAGGGCCCAAAGCATGAGGAATTCGGCTGTGGGTGTATTACTTTACAACCAACTCGTGCAATGACCATTGCTTAACCTGTTGCATTTCCTGGGCGTGCGACTGGCAAACATGCAAACTTGCATGTTTGCATTTCCCATCGCGTACGAGCAAACATACAACCGGAGATACCGTACCCCGCATGCCCAGGTTCTTGAGTCACTTGCGAGAACATTTCGGATGTGGCAAACCGGTTCGGACCCCATGACTTGGCCGGTGTCCAGATTGCGGGTGCCAGCAGCACCTGAGGTCCGGGACCCAAACCTTCTCGGGGCCCCCGAACAAGATGGCCACGGATGGAGTGTGCGATTCGTGGTTTTAGAAGCCGCAAGATTACAGGAGATCCCAAAAAATTGCCTGAGAATCATACATCCCCTGTATGTACATGATCGGAAACGACCAGGTAAGGCTTCCGTGCTCGGATGATTGCCATCAACAGCTAAGGTTTATGTTCAACCTTCTTCAGATGCATCATGGAGCGAAACACTCACAAAAGGCATCGGTTCCGTTTGGTTTCTCTTCAAAACCAGCCCCTTTGGGGGGTTTCCTTATCCTTGACACCCGGTTTGGGCCTCTGAGGCGCAACTTGTCCTGCACTACGCTTCATGTGTGGGGCTCTCCAAAGGGACGCCTCCATGAGGTTGGTTTGCCTTTGGCTTCCCTTCAAACCCATGGTGAAGGCGGGTGTTCGGCCAAGCAGGTAAGTGTGGCCGAGCTATAAATTCCCCCCCCCTCTTTGGTGTTAACCTTGTTATGAGATCCGAAATTCTACCACAAGCGGCTGAAACTTACACACTTGGAGGGGCATCCAAGTTCAAGAAGCTTTGAGCATACCTTTTGAGCTTACCCCAACCCTCCCAGATGAGGATTCCTTTCATATTGGGGTCTGGGGTATGCTTCAAAGAGATGCTGGAAAGTTCTTGGATTCAAATCATTTTGCGCAGCGCCTATGTGTTTCATGCTCCCCTCCCTTGCCACTCGCTCTTGGCAGCTGACCCTTTTCTTTTCTGACGGAACGGACGGAACGGCACGAGTAGCTGAAGCTCGCTTGCCAGGAAGCACCGGACATGAGACAAAACACGTCTTGGGATCTAAGAAAAATCAAAAAAGCGACCCCCGTAAAGGCGGTTTTGCTTCGTGCAAGCGAGGGGTTTTGTCTCAGAGGTTGAGCGCCGGAGTGACACCTGCAGAGCCCAGAGCCCTTCGGTAGATGGAATCTTGAGTGTCCAAAACTTGGAGCTCCATGTCGATGAGCGTGCTGATGTGTGTTAAGTCCGCCTGCATGGCTCGGCTAAAAAGAAGAACGCGGCACGGCCAAAGAACAAATCAAGCAGTCAACGTAGGAATGTGATTTTGAACAAAGGGTAGCTGGGGCCCCTCAGCGAAAAGCAGAAACTATGAGATGACATGAGTAAATGGGTGCACAAAGTTGTTTCCTGGGCTGAGTACTCCCAAAGCTATGGGCCACCATGATGGACATGTTCCTGCCAATGCGCACAAACCATGGTAGGGTTGGACACCTTTTTTATGTTACCCATTTTGTCTGTAAAATCTGCAACACGACACATCCAAACCCGAAATTCAACGGTCCAAAGTGCTGCTTCAAGCGACGAGGCTTTCTTTTTACAGCCTTTCACGGGTGTCTACGGACGTTTTTGCGGCTGTTTCCAGCGTCAGCCAGCTTTTGAGATCAAACCTCTCTGCGTCCAAGCAATTCCTGGGTCTTCGAATGGAAGCTGCGAGGCCGAGAGCCGCTGCCAAAACATCACCCGCAAAAACACACCTTTGGGCAAAGTGATGAATTCAACACGTCGTCAATTTTCTAGAAAACGGTTTGGATGCGATGTTTGTGGATGTCACCTGTTCTTCCCTGGTTGGCTCTTCCTTAGCACGTTTTTAGTTTCTGTTGTTATATCCTACAGGGGTGGATCTACAAAAGCCACATCCAAGCCGTTTTCGAAACTGTTTGAGGGTACTCTTTTAGTTGGAAGGAAAACGAAGGACAAGCACTGGGACAACAGAAGCCATGTTTTCCTGTTTTTCTGGGGCGGGGGGTGGGGCTCAACCTCAAAAAAGACACACCCAACCTAGTGTTTCTTTTCGTTCCCACAAAAGACAACTTCAAGGGACACCATGTGAAATCTACAGGGAAACTACTTCGTTGAGGTGGATGCCAACTCAACATTACAAGTAGTAGGGAACAAGGGACACCATATGTAAATTACTCGGTTGCTTTCTGCTCCCCTGCTCAAAGTTTAACGTTTAGTGAAGTGGTTTAATGCGGAAAACCCATTCGTTGGCAAAAGGTTAAAGTCCTAACATCCCTTGGCAAAATGCAGCAAATTTAAAGGTAAACTCCCCATGATTCTCTGGGCTGTCCTCAGATCCCCCGCTAAAAGTTCAACTTTTAACGGGTCATAAATGGAAATCCAACCACTAAACACTAAAGTCTAAAAAGCTAAGGAACCGGATGGCCTTCGGGAACCAAGTTCTTGCGTGCTTTACTTGCTGGAAGCGAAAGCGAAGCGGCCTCCCCGGAGCGTGTGGTTTCCTCCACCAGCGGCTTGGAGCGGTTCAGCAGGCTCCGCGCCAGCTGCCGCCGCCGCGCCGCGCCCTGGCGCGGGGCGGTGCGTTTTATTTGGCGGTGTGACAAAGGACGTCCGGGGCACCTGAGCCTCAACTAGGTCCTCTGGTCGGGAGCTTAGAATACGGGTAGCAACTTTTTCGTCCTGTAGTCTATTTTAGTAGGGGGAACCCTCCCAACCAAAAAAGGGGTGAGAAAGGGCACTATTGGGGGACCTAGTCAAACTACCCACAACAAATGGATCTCACCCCAGAACCTTGGGGCAAGGACCCATTTTTTATGGGTCCACAAGGACCTCCATGTGCTTAATTCAGCCTACTGGGAAAAATGAGACAATATGTCCCAGAATGAAATTGATTCCTTTCAAAACCAAGAGCGGAAAATAACAACATATTCTGAAGCAAATGGAAGCAAGTGGACATCACCCCAGATGTTTCATAATGAATAATTATGGGTAGTTTGAGGGTCCAGGGTGTCGCCCTAGTTCGACACAAACATATACAGGGTTCCTTGAAGTGGTGACGTTGTTCTTGCAATGTTGTTTCTTTTGTTGGGGGAGGGGGGGCGGTCTCAAACATACTTTTCGGCTTGCCTTCCTTTACTCAAGTCCACTGGAAGGTTTAAACATGTTTCCAGTAGTAATAGACTCCTTCTAAAAACCAACCGACGAAAACAAAAAAAACATTTCAGCAAATGGAAGTATGTATCTTCCGCCCTGCTTATAACCTACAGCGTGTTCAAGCAGGCATTCAGGCTTCCCTTAACTCTCCTGTTTTTGTTTGATATATGACAACCGGGTTTTTGCTTTCTTTTTGAAACCAAACAAAGTATAATGAAACACAACACAACTCTCAAGCAAAGGGAAGATCTAAGCCCTCCCTGGGCTTTTTCCCTGCGGCGTCCGAATCCGAAACCCGGCACCCGCCTCTTGGCGCGCTTGGTCTCCCTGGGCCATGGAGCAGCGCAGCAAGACCTGGGCCATGCGCTCGAAGACCACCCCGGCGTTGCCGTCTTGGTCCAGGCCGCGGTAGACCATGTTCTTCACCTCATTCGTCCATTTTGGAGGCGGACCCACCCCCCTTGGGCAAAGGGTGTGTGTGTGTGTGTGTTTTTTTGAGAAACCCCAAGATTGTGTTCTTCACCTCAGGCGTCGTCCCTTTTGGAGGCGGACCCCCCAAGAATGGTTCGGTGTGCCTTTGAGGTTCCGGATTGACACCACACAATTTGGGGGGGTTCCATCAAAATCAACATGGGCGTGTTCTTTTTCGCTTTTAGGAGTTGGACCCACTCCCCTTGAAAAAAGGGTATGCTTTCTTCTTCTTGAGAAACCCCAAAATGGTTTTCTTCACCTGGGGCACCGTCATTTTGGAGGAGGACCCGCCCCAAAAATGGCTTCCCACCCCCGAAATGGCATGTGTCCATGTGGGAAAACCGGGATGCCCCCAACCTCAAAGTTTCTCCTAGCCAAAATGGCGTCTTCTTTGAGGGGATCCCCCCAGATGGCTTCGGTTTTCTTTTGGGTTTCCCTTTCAAAGAGCACCAAAGTGGGGGGTGGGGGGGGGGGGTGGGAGGGGGGGGGTTCACCTGGTCCTCTTTCTTTAGGAGTCGGCCCACTCCCCATGGCTTCGGTTCGCCAGGATGCTGCAACCTCCATGGGCGCCTCCAGCCGGGTGAGCTCCATGACGTCCATGCCGCCCTTAATGGAAACCGCCGCTGGGGCCCTTGCCACGCTACCCTTTGTCGCATGTGGGTCAAAAGCCAAATCGGTTAGCCCCCAGTGAACGTCCCAATTAATCACCAATGAAATAGACTAAATGGGTGGTGCACCTACCCCAAAATGGTACCATTGGCTTTGACCCACAGCCTCATGGAACCGTTCGGCCATCCTGGTTTGGGCCATCAACTTGGTTGCTCCTGCCCTCCCATCCTTTTCACATGGAACCGTTTGACCTTCCGGGGGTCCTGGTTTGGATCATGTTCCTTTGAAAGGGACCGGGTCTCTGTCAGGTTCTGGCAGTTGATTGGCGGGAGGGTAGATCCAGCCAAAAGTTAGACAAATTCAGTCTTGGTCTGCCAAACATTATTGAATGGCCTGTGGCAGTGTCCAATATTATCCAAACAGTTGAAGGGCAAAGGGTGTTACCAAGTTAAAGCGGCAAGCATTTGCTACGCCCTCACGTCATCTGGGTCCATTAATAGTGATTGAAGTGGATCTCTGTCTGGGATGTCCAAAAGCTCGCCCCTGAACCACCATCTAGTTGGTCAATCCGAGGGCGTGTGCGTGTGTCTCTTTTCGAGGGTAGCCTTTGCAGCCATCCTGGAAGCCACCTA